ACCCCCGCCTCCCCGCCCCGCTCAACCCAGCTGCTTTTTGAGCCGGAGCAGCCAGCCTTTGATTTCTACGGAATGGGAGGCCAGGAGACGGACGACCTGCTAAAAGAGGCACTCAAAGGGGACGGGTGAGACGCGACACGGGAAGCCGGTGGGAAGCGGGCGGGAGGCCAGCGGGAAGCCGGCAGGATTTTTGCAAGAAGCCGCGGCGGGAAGCTGGCAGCGTCCCTCTGTATCTGCCGGCGGCGGCGGGGCGAGCGTGAGGGCCCCCTGATTGTCCGTGCCGCAGCCCCTTGTCATTCCAGCTCCATTGCCCTACCCCTTCTCACACCAAAGCGAGCCGCCCTTGCCCGGGCCCTTCCCCTCATCTCAACACCTGTCCCCTCGCAACCCCTGCCCAACCAACCCACCACACCCAACCTCCTCCCCCCCCCCCAAAAAAAACCCGCCGCGTCCCGCGTGCAGCTCGCAACCGCCGGTGGACCTGCCCGAGCTGAGCGCTGACATGGCAAAGTTTTTTGACCTCCTGCACAACGACTGGGAGCCGATGATGGTGCGGCCCCTGTCTGCTGGGCCCACCGGTGTCAAGGCCGAGCCCAGCGTTGAGGGTGGCCGCGGAGCTTGTCCAAGGGGGAGCGCGGCCTCGCAGCTCTGGGACTTTCACTGGCATGCACGCCGTTGGAAGTTGCTTGCCGTACACAGCGCCTGGAAAGCTGCGAGGGGCCTGGGTCACGTCGGGCCTGAAGGCGCACGCGGTCCGCCTGGCGTGCGTCTCGCAGTCCCGGAGTGGCCTGTGTGCTGCTGCGTCGATGAAGGACGGCGCTCTTGACATGAACCACAAACGCCTGCTATACACACACACACACACTCACTCACACACACTCACACACACACCCCGCAGCGCCTGTTCCACAACAGCCGGGAGGTCTTCGACCGGCCGCTCGTCGTGAGCGTGCTGCGCGCGCTGCGGCGCGGCGCTGCAGAGGACTTGTCGCACTACGGCCACAGGGAGGCGCTCGAGCTGCGCGGCTTCGTGACAGCCCTGGCCGAGCACTCCCAGAGGTGTGACCGTCCGGCTTCCTTGGGGGCCGGGAGGTTGTTTGGCTGAGACGGCGATGCGCATGGATCGGCCCTGATGGCACACGCAATCTTTTGGGAACGCACCCAAATGGTTTGTGCAAGCGGCTGGGGATGGCAGCCAACGCAAGAGAGAGCGATCCCTGGGGGTCTCCCCCCTGCAGCCACGTCGCTCTTGTGCAGCGAGGCGGAAATTGAAATGGTGGCGGCCCCGACGCGAATCGTCAGCTGTGCCGTGCCCTGCATGTGACAGGTGTCACCCTGTTGACACTGGTGCGGTCTTCCTGAAGGACGTGACGCCCCTTCACCACATGTGCATGAGGGCATGCGCAAAATCCCCCCCACACGCACGCGTGCGCGCGCACACACACACACACACACACACACACACACACATGTCTCTCTCTCTCTTCCTCTCTCTCTCTCTTTCTCACACACACAGACACACAGACACACACACACTCTCTCTCTCTCTTTTCTCACACACACAGACACACAGACACACAGACACACACACACACACACACACCTCACTTTCCCTCTCTTACGCACACACACACACGCGTGCGCACACTCACACACACATCATGCAGTTTCATCGAAGACATGGAGCCGTCCGAGCTGGCGCTGCTCTCCACAACTTTGGCCCGCTTCGGGGCAGAGAGGTGCGCGGGGCCCCTCACGCCTCTGCTCCCAACAGTAACTTTTTTCCCCTGAAAGCTGCCATGCTGCCACGCCCTGCCCGTTTTCTCTCACATCCGACTAAATTCTCCGCTCCTTATGACACGCAACGCCCTCGTTACTTGCTGAACCCTTATCCCCCGGCCCTCCGCCAGCCGCCCCGCGTGCACGACGCTGCAGCGCCATGCCGCGCGGCCGGAAGTCCTGCGGTCGCTGTCGGCGGTGGAGCTGTCAGACCTGCTGTTTGGCATGGCTAGGACCGGCCACCGGCCGCCGACGAGCTGGCTGCTGCAGCTGACTGGGCGCGCCCTCGAAGTCTCCGATGGGGTGAGGCGCGCCAGGGGATGGTTCGCCGCTGCCGCCCAGGGTGGCAGCAGCGGCGGCGGCGGCAGAGGCGGTCGCGCGGCGTGGCGTGGCGCATCAGGGAGCACGCGTGTTTTGAGTCTGTGAGATGCTCCGCCGTGGCGGCACTGAGCCATGTCCTCTCCCGCTGACGCTGCGACGGCCGACGGTGCCGCAGCTGTGTTGGCTGTGCTTTGCACACGCCGTATGCTTGCAGCTGTTGACTTGCATGCGGCTGCACTTCCCATCTATGGCGCAGGGTGCCACTGACGCGGCTGCGGTTGGGCACATCCTCTACTCATGCGCCCTGCTGCGTTTCAAGCCCGGCCAGCAGCTGCTCTCCGGCTTCTTCTCCGCGTCGGAGCAGCTTCTGAGCAGCTTCCCGCCGAGGCGCCTGTCGGACGCCCTGTGGGCGATGGGGGAGCTTGGGGCGCGGCCACCCTCTGCTTGGCTGGCCGCAGCACTCGTGGCGCTGGCGCGGGCGCATGCGGCGGCCGCGGCCGGCGGCGGCGGCGCGACGCTCGCGCCTGCGGCGGAGTGGTGGCAAGTGGGGGGGCCGGGGCCCGCGATACAGGAGCTGGAGCAGAGGGAAGGGCGGATGGGGCCGGAGCGGGGGGTTTGGGGCGGCAGTGGTGGGGAGGATGATCTGGAGCATCTTGGGGCAGACCAGCTTGCAGACGTCGCGTGCGGCCTCGGGAAGCTGCTGAGAAGCTACTGCTCCGCCGCGGCCGCCGCGCCCGGCGCCGCCCGGCGCGGCGGCGGCCGCGC